GACTCTTATCGGATATTTCACAGTCAAATTTTTTTTCCCAGTCTGTAGGTTCTCTTTCTACTCTTTTGGCGAAGTCTTGATGAGCCTGTTTAATTTTTAGGAGCTCCCAGTCATGTAGTTTATCTTCTGGTGTTTGTGCATTTTTAGTTATGGTTTGTATTCTATTTCTGCCATGTATTAGGGCCCTTAGCATTGTGCCTATTTTTTCTTCCGTGATCTGTATTGTTTTAGCTTTTATACTTAGGTTTTTGGTCCATTTTGAGTTAGTTTTTGTGTATGGTGTGAGGTGTGGTTCCTGTTTCGTTTTTTTTTTTTTTTTTTTTTTACAGATGTACATCTAGTTTTGCCAGCACCATTTGTTATTAGTTTTTGTGTATGGTGTGAAGTGTGGTTCCTGTTTCGTTTTTTTTTTTTTTACAGATGTACATCTAGTTTTGCCAGCACCATTTGTTAAAAAGACTGTCTTTTCCCCATTTAATGGATTTTGGTGCTTTGCCAAAGATCAGCTGACCATAGGTGGATGAATTTACATCTGGGTTCTTGAGTCTGTTCCATTGGTATATGTGTCTATTGTTGTACCAGTACCAGGCTGTTTTGCTACCATGGCTGTATAGTAGGTTCTGAGATCAGGTAGTATGAGGCCTCCTACTTTGTTCTTTTTCTTCAAAAATGTTTTGCTTATCCAGGCCTCTTTCCTTTCCTATTAATTGGTGATTAGTGTTTCTATCTCCTTAAAGAAAGCTGTTGCTATTTGGATTGGGATTGCATTATATCTGTAGATTGTTTTGGGTAGAATTGACATTTTCACAATATTGAGTCTTCCTATCCATTAGCGTGGTGTGTTTTTCAATTTATGTAGGTCTCTTTTGGTTTCTTGCAATAGTGTTTTGTAGTTTTCTTTGTATAGCTCTTTTAAGTCACTGGTTAGATTTATTCCTAAGTATTTTATCTTTTTAAGGGCTATTATAAATGGTATTGTTTTCCTGATTTATTTTTCAAAGTTCTCTTTGGTGTATAGGAATCCAACTGATTTTTGTATGTTGATTTTGTAACCTGCTACTCGGCTGAAATCTATTAGTTTCAGTAGTTTTCTTGTGGAATCTTTGGGGTTCTCTATGTATAATATGTCATCTGCAAACAGGGCTAGTTTTACTTCTTCATTTCCAATTTTGATGCACTTTATTTCTTTTTCTTGCCTTACTGCTCTAGCTAGGACTTCCAGCACAGTATTAAACTGGAGTGGTGAACAAGGGCATCCTTGTCTTGTTCCCGTTCTCATGCGGAATGCTTTTAGCCTCTCTCTGTTGAGAATGAAGTTGGCTGTTGATTTGGTATAGAGGCCTTTTATTATGTTGAGGAATTTCCCTTCTATTCCTATTTTAGTGAGAGTTTTCATCAGAATGGGTGTTGGACTTTATCAAATGCCTCTTCTGCCTCGACTGAAATGATCACGTGATTCTTTTCTTTTGTTTTATTTATGTTGTGGATTACTTCAATTGATTTTTTAAAATGTTGAACCATCCTTGCATACCTGGTAGGAATTCCACTCGGCTGTGGCATATTATTTTTTTTTATATGATGATGAATTCTACTGGCTAGAATTTTGTTGGGAATTCTTACAACTATATTCATGATAGGTATTGGTCTGTAATTTTCTCTTTTTGTGGTGTCTTTGCCTGGCTTTGGCATCAGAGTTATGCTGGCTTCACAGAATGAATTCAGGAGTATTCCTTCCTTTTCTATGCTCTAAAATAGTTTGAGTAGTACTGGTGTTAACTCTTCTCTGAATGTTTGGTAGAATTCTCTAGTGAAGTCATCCAGGAGAGGGCTTCTTTTCATTGTTGTTGGGAGGTTTTTTTTGTTATTGTTATTTTGTTTTGTTTTATCTCTTCAGTCTCTTCTCTTGTTATGAGTTTATTCACATTTTCTATCTCAGCTGGTGTTAGTTTAGGTAGGTAGTACGTTTCTAGAAATTTGTCCATTTTCTCTAGGTTCTCATTTTCGTTGGAGTATAATTTATCAATTTATTATAGTATTCTGTTATGATACTTTTTATTTCAGTTTGGTCTGTTAATGTCCCCATCTCATTTATTATTTGTGTTATTTGCTTCTTCTGCTGCCTTTCTTTTGTCAGTTTGGCCAGTGGTTTGTCGATTTTGTTGATCTTTTCAAAGAATCAACTTTTGTTGATTTTTTCTATTTTTTTGTTCTCTATATTATTTCCTTTCTTCTGGTGGCTATGGGACTCTTTTTTTGATCTTTTATTATTCGTTCAAGTTTTATGGCTAACGTTTTGATTTTGGCCCATTCTTCTTTTTTGATGTGTGCATTTATTACTATAAATTGACCTCTGGGCACTGCTTTTGCTGTGTTCCAAAGGTTTTGGTATGATGTGTTTTCATTTTCATTTGATTCTAGGAATTTTTTTCTTTCCTCTTTGATTTCTTCTATCGACTCATTGTTTTTAAGCAAGGCGTTATCCAGTTTCCATATATTTGATTTTCTTTCCTTGATCTTCCTGTTCATGATTTCTCCTTTTATGGCACTGTGATCAGAGAGAATACTTTGTATTATTTAGATGTTTTGGATTTTATTGAGGGTTGCTTTGTGGCCTGAAATGTAGTCTATTCTGGAGAATGTTCCATGTGCATTGGAAAAGAATGTGTACTTTGCTGCTGTTGGGAGGAGTGTTCTATATGTCTGTGAGGTCAAACTGGTTGATTTTGGCCTTTAGATCTTCAGTATCTTTGTTGAGTTTCTTTCTAGATGTTCTGTCCTTTACCAAAGGCAGTGTTTTGAAGTCTCGTACTATTATTGTGGAACTATCTATTTCTCTCTTCAGTGCTGTTAGAGTTTGTTTTACATATTTTGGAGCCCTGTCACTGGGTGCATAGATATTTAATAAGGTTATGTCTTCTTGGCAGATTGTTCCTTTAATCATTATATAATGTCCTTCCTTGTCTTTTAGGATTGATTTTGCCTCAAAATCTATTTCATCTGAGATTAGTATTGTCACTTATGCTTTTTTAGTTTCTGCTTGCTTGATATATTTTCTCCATCCCCTCATTTTTAATATATTTATGTCTTTGTGTCTACAGTGTGTCTCCTGTATACAGCATATTGATGGGTCTTTTTTTTTTTTAATCAGTTCTGCCACTCTCTGTCTCTTTGACAGGTGCAATTAAGCCATTTATATTCCACGTGATTATCGATAGGTATGATTATATTGCTGTCATACTATTGTACTTTTTTTTTTTTTTTTTTTGGTGCTGACACTTTCTTTGTTCTTACTTTCCTGTGCTGAGTTCATTTTATTTGTGGGATTTTTTTTTTCATTTGTTTCATTATTATAGATTTTGTGTTTAGTGAGTCTGTAGGTATTTCTTCTTTTTTATTTTTACAAGTAGGTTTGTTAACTTACCCTTATCTTTTATTACTTGATATCAACTTGACTGCCTCTCTATTTGAAAGTTCTATACCTACACCATTTATCCCCCCTTTTATTGTTTTGACTTTGTTGTCATTTATAGATTGATATCTCTGGTTCCCTATTTAAGTCTTTTAGCTTTTTTTTATTGTTGGGAGTTCTTTACCTAGGTTTGTACCTGACTGATGCTGTCCTGTGTCCTAGACTCAGGTTGTTGTCTAATGTTGTTAGTTCTCTAATCGAAGGACTTCCTTTAGTATTTCTTGTGAGTTTGGTTTGGTTTTTACGAATTCCCTTAATTTCTGTTTATCTGGAAATGTCATAATTTCACCATCATATTTGAGACAGAGTTTTGCAGGATATATTATTCTTGGTTGGCAGCTTTTTTTTTCTTTCAAGGTTTTATGTATGTTATCCTATTGCCTTCTTGGAGCCCCAGTGGTGCAGTATTTAAGAGCTATGGCTGCTAACCCAAAGTCCAGCAGTTCAAATCCACCAGCCACTCCTTGGAAACCCTATGGGTTAATTCTACTCTTTCCGATAGGGTTGCTGTGAGTTCGACTTTTTTTTTTTCTCAAGCTGCTCTCAGGATTCTTTCTTTGCCTTTGGTTTTGGCAAGTGTGATTATGATATGTCTTCGTGACATTCTTTTGGGGTCTGTCCTATATGGGGTTCGTTGAGCTTCTTGAATGGTCAGCTTTTCATCTTTCATGATATTTGGGTAGATTTCTGCCAGTAAATCTTCAACAATCTTCTCTGTGTTTCCATTTTCTCCTCCTGTCCTGGAACTCTAGGCACATGCAAATTTTTGCTCTTGATTGTGTCCCACATAATTCTTAGGTTTTCTTCAGTTTTTTTTATTCTTTTCTCTGATTTTTTCCTCAAGCAAAGCGGCATCCATGGGCTGTCTTCAACCTTGCTGATTCTATCTTCCATTGTTTCAAATTTGCTCCTAAAACCTTCTACTGAGTTGTCCATTTCTGACATTTTGTTGCTTATCTTTTGGATTTCTAGTTGCTGTATTTGTCTGCTTTCTAATTGATTAATTATTTTTGATGTTTTGTTCCTGTATTATTTTCCTGAATTCTCCTATTGCTTTGCCAGTGTTTTCCTTGATTTTAGCTATGTTTTTGTTGGTTTTGTCTGTGTTTTCCATGAATTTGTCTATTTTTTCCTTGGTTTTGTCTGTTTTCCTTGATCTCTCTGATAATCTCTTGGAGGAGCCCTAAATATTAGTCTTTTGAATTCCATATCAGGTAGTTTCAATGCGTTTTCTTCTACTGGAAGGTTATCTGATTCTTAGTTTTGGTCACTTGCTGGAGCCATCTTGTCCTGCTTTTTTATATGTTTTGATACTGTCTTCTGTCTCTGAGACATTAAGATATTATTTTCTTTATTTATTGACTGTATATTCATTTATTTTGTCTTGCTTTTTATTTTGTTTTGATATATCGATGTAGGCTGGCCAAGTGCACTTTGCTGCTTGCTTGTCTGTGGGCATGATAGCTTTCACCACCTTATCTGAGTTGGCAGGGCAGCAGCAGGCAGGGGTCTGTTATCATTATTAAAGGGAGCAGTGGTGGTTTAGTGCTAGAATTCTTGCCTTTCATGCAGGAGACCTGGGTTCAATTTCCAGCCAATGCATCTCAAACACAGCCACCATCCATCTGCCACTATTGCTATGATGCTGAACAGGTTTCAGCAGAGCTTCCAAACTAAGTCAGACTAGGGAGAAAGACTGGCGATCTATTTCCAAAAAATCAGCAAATAAAAACCTGATCCCATCTCTCGTGTAGAGTCGCCATGAGTCAGGGGCCAACACAATGGCAGCTAACAACAACAACATCATTATTGAAAGAAAAGTTTGCCTTAGTTTCCTAATTTATAAATTCCTTATTTCTATGAAAAACAAAGTAATTTAGTGAAGGCTCTAGAATCCTTCAGTGTGAAAAACATTAAGTCATTCTAAGGCAAAGACCAAAGAAAGTAGCTGGGGAGTAGGAGGTTAAGTTAAATGAGAATTCACCTGGGTAATTAAGATAATGCATTGTGTGAAGGGGTAAACTTTAATCTAAGTGAATAAATGTGAGGTTTTAATGCCTTGTGCAGAAAATATTTTAATTTTTATTAATGATACTGTCAACTACTAAACAGGACAGTTGTCCTGAGTGTAAATGTCTTCTGGGCCACGTGACCAGTTACATCAGGAGCAGGGCTTTGGGGGCGTCAGCAGTTACTTCCTTGTTTCCTGACTTTAAAGGGTCGCTAAGTTTCTCAGTAAAATACTCATCAGCAAAAACATCTTCCCCACACCAAAGTCTATTCAAAAGTGAACAGCATTTGGGCGGCAGACATGGCCCATGAACTGAAAGGATAAGAAGCATCTGCCCTCACTTCAAAGGTCACTGGCATTAAAAGACCAATTTCAGAGCACAAAGTCGCAGTGCCATGGAGTGTAACTTGACATTTACAAACCTACGTGCAAAACTTTCTCCTAAATTCCAGGGTACCAAAGTAAGCAAACCTTACTGAAATCATTCAGAGAAGAGCCACTATTTCTTCCTAAAGGGCACTAAACAGTGAGATAAAAAGTTCACTGTACTGTGAAAACACACAGATAAGCCTTCACAATTGTTACGCTATTTAACAATAATATAAAATGGACAAGTTTAGTTTATTTTCATTCACTCAGAAAAATTATGGAACACCTAATAGATGCAGACCCTTCTACTAGACACAGTGGTGTACACAAAGAACAAAGAAAAAGAGGTCAAAACACCACAGGCAATTACAGACTGATAAATCACAATTATTTCTTATAAGTATGTAGTATATCATGGCCCACACAATTTTCATCAAATTAATTAATTCTCCAAACATCCCTGTGGGGTGCTTAAGAATTGCTGTGACTAACTTAAGATAAGAAAATTTAAAATAACCTTATCTGAGTTTTATGATTTTATAAACCAACACCCAAGAAGTGTCAAAAGCAGTTTTTGATTGAATACAAAGTGAATGGCACAGAAAACAGGAGGGGAAATTATTAAGCTGGTGTATTTAGGGAGAAGTTCATGAGGCTATGAAAACTAAATGACCTGAAGGATGCCTGGGATTACCTAGAAGGAGAAAGAGAAGCAAGAGATTTAGGGGAGGGAAGGGATTCTACTTTCTTATTAGCCACATAATCACTGTCCCCCTTAATCCTTTCAGATTTCTCATCTCTGTAGAAATTGTGTATTTTTTTAAAAAGCACTCCATATGTGTGCTTTGGGGTCCCTGGGTGGTGCAAATATTAACGCATTTAGGCTGCTAACTGAAAGGTTGGCAGTTTGAACCCACTCAGAGACACCTCAGAAGAAAGGCCTGGCAATCTACTTCCAAAAGATCACAGTCACTGAAAACTCCATGGAGTTCAGTTCTACTCTGAAACACATGGGGTCACTATAAGTTGGAATTGTTTCAACAGCAACTGATTATGAGTGTTTTTCTTGTTCCCACTAAACAGGGGATACTTTAGCACCAGTTCTAAATTATGTGCACCCCTAAAGAGAGAAAGAGTGCTTTAAGAGGCTCAGGAAGGGTCAACCCAGGCTGGTTGCCACAAAGACCTGAGGAGGAGGACTGTGCATAGGAAAGCCTCCAGTTCATGGTGTAGGTGCAGAGAGGTCAGTACCCTTAGTCATTGTAAAGACTCCACTTAAACCAAACTCAACAGAGGAGAACAAATTGAAATTGGAGGTAGCAGTGGGGGAAAGAAGAATGTTAAGCTGCTGGGATAACAGGTTGTTCCTAAAAGGAACAAGAGGGAAAAGCATCCTAAGAAATGGCCTCCAGGGGTGCTGGAGGACCCTGGGTTACCATCTTCTCTGCTGCTTGGAAAAGACATCCTTTCCTGCACATAAGCCAACAGATGCTCAGCTTAATCATAATTAGATACTGAAGAGCAGACCACAGGAATGGCATTTTATTCTCCACAAGAGCACCTAGGAGTTGCAACAAAAAGCATTACAGATAGGAAAATTATAAACACTAAGAATGGCCAAAAATACTATGAGCAATTTTTACTTCCTTAGGACCCACTTGACATTTATATCAATAACAGCTGTTTGGTCATTTTTAAAGCAAAACTTTTCGTAAATAAAAAGTGCTATCTAGGACTTCCGGCAAGATGGCGCTCTAGGCAGAAACACCACGCCGTCCCTCCACAACAAAGATCCGAAAAACTAAGCCAAACAGAGAA